CTGTTCAGATCGGAGAGCCTTTCGCATTGCGCGTAAAGTGACTCTCCTTGGATGCCCAACAACGCCATGGGGTCGCTTTCCTTGCTGGATTCTGCTTGCCCTTGCTGCTCCTTTTTTCCATTCAGGGTGAGTGTGGGCCTGTACTTAAGCAACTTGGGTCCACTGGCCTGCAATTTCTCCTTGCCGTGGCTGGCGTTCCCATCGTCTATTTCCATCTCCTGGTTCTCCTTTGTTGCACTGTACTTTTCAGCTAGGAGGGCTGCCAATTCTGCCTCTCTCTCTAGGGGGGCGAAAGGGTTCTCCGTGAGAGGGATGGCTTGCGTCGGATTGGTTGCAGCTGTTGCTTGTCTGTTTTTTTGTTCTTCCCTGTGTAGGATCAGCTGCAGGTCATGTTTATCCTGCCTTTCTTTCTCGAACTTCTGTATGAAGTTCAGCAGCTCCCTCTCTTGCCGATCAGTCCACGGATAATACGCCGTTTCATCCCACTCCTGTTCGTCAGTTGTTTCCTATCTGTCATAAGCCCCCTCTAGATGCTTTCTCTTCTCCCCCACTGCTGGCAACTGACCATCAATACAGCCTTCAACCGAAGGGGTGACTGCCCCTCCTTCCTGCTCTGTCTCGGTAAGGCTTTCCCCTTGTCCCTGTCCTGTTTTTGCTTGCCCCTTCTGAGCTCTTCTGGTGTATATCCTTTGTTACTGCAAACCCTCTTTGTTTCTTTCCAACTCTTGATTCTGTCGGACTGCCTCTACCCATTTCTTTTATGTGACTTCCTGAATTGACTGCAAATCAGCACGCAGATCCCTCTCCCAAATTTCCTGCTTTAATGCGTCTACATTTATAGCCGGTTCTCTGGTGAAACATTTGGAGGATTTCTTCTCCACTTTCAAAGTTTGCCATCTGCTGTCGTACGGTGGATAGACGTCAGGTCTGGGTCTTGGTTCGCTGTCCAGCGTCCAGACCCAGTCTGGAGTTTCCAAGTTGTCATTAAAGACCCAGCCTGCGTATTGTGCGCTCGGAACGTACCAGTATCCTTTCCTTTCCGTTACCTCCTGTAGGTTAGCTGTTTTGAGCGGCTTGGGTTTAGCATTCTCCCTGACCTTGGGACAGCTTGAGTCTGTCCCCAGGTGACCCCTCTGCCTGCATTTGAAGCACAGGGGGTTGGATTTGTTGGAAACCGTGATTCTGATAACTTTGCTTTCGTGCTCGAAGAACCATTCTTCAGGGGTGAAAGGGGCCGGACTGTTCCCTGTGTCCAATATTACCGTCATTTGATTGTGCTGTGGTGTGAGAAAATCTGGAGTAGACACTATCCAGTGTGATTCTTTGAAGTGCCCATATTCCATTCTCACCCTTTCTTTGACGCAGCCATGCATTCCTTCCGGCACATTGTCAAATTGCATCCAAAAGTGTTTTTTTAACAGATCTTGTCTGTATCTGAATGGTGTTTGTTGATAGCCTGTTGCCTGTTTCCAGGGGTGAACGGTAACTACCGACGAATTGCATGTGAAACACTTGTTCTTTAGGAATGACGCCAGGGCTTCCTCCATACATAACACCATGATAACGTTCCTTGACCTTGGATGAAACGACACCTTGGGGTCTGTTCCTTGGATCGGTTCCAGACTCTTCAGTTTTTCCCAGATCCATTTCAACTTCGCTTGTCTATCCAGCTCCTGACTCTTCTTCGCAAATGTGAAGAGGACTGCATGCTTTCTGTGCAGCTCTTCCTGCTTAGCGGTGAGTTCTTTCGGACATTCATAGACTACCACCTCTTCTTGGTTGTTTCCTCCCTGATCAATTACTTTAGTCGTTTTGATGAGGGGTGTCCTTGTTTGTTCGGCGAGCCAGTTCTGTGTTTCAATTCCTCTGCCTTCCATATTCGTTCGTGCTCCTTGCACACTGCCACAGTAGTGGATTAGTGACGGGACGGACGTGGTGCGAGTGTTGAGGGCTTGGACAGTGGGGTGATAGCCGAGCAGCAATAACAGTGTGGCTCGGGCCAGAAGAGGAGAAACGTGAAGGGGTTGTGGTGGGCGAACAGATCCAGACCGATGTGAGAGGGGTTAATTTGGTAGACAAGTGGTTGGGGGGGGAGATAGGAAGTAGGGAGGCATGTGGAGGATGTTATTGAGTCGCGAAGTAATGGAAAAAAAATGTCAGCATTTTGCCTCCCCACTTGGGGATCGGCTTGACCAGTGGAGGAGCGGCGAGGGAACGGTAGAAGAGACGCTCTTGCTGTGAGATGGGTTCGGAGTGGTGGCGGTCAGGATCGGGCTGAATTCAGGGCGGGTCGGGAGCAGATTGGGAGTAGGGGCGAGATGGGGTTGGATGGGCGTCTGGGTGGGACGGGGTCGGTGTCGGGGAGGGAACGGTCGAGAATGAGTTGATGTGCGTGCGGTTCGCGATCGGATTGGAGTCAGGGGAGGCCGGGATCGGATCGAGGTTGGGGGTGAGTGTCGATCAGATCGGAATCCGGGGGTGGGGCGCAAACGGGTTGGGAGGGTGGGTTAGGAATCGGGTAGAAGAACAGACCAGATCAGGATCGGGGTCGGATTGGAAAAGGGGTAGATCAGGGTCGGATTGGTGTCAGGGTGATGAAAGGTGGGTTTATTGGGGGAGGGGGTTTGTTGGGGGCGGACAGAACGAGGGAAGGGGAGATGAAAGGTGGTGAGAATGAAAATGTGAATTGAGGTCGGTTGCGATGGAACGCGGTTTGGGTGGTTCCAAACTGGGATCGGGATAGCGGTCGAAGAGACGGGTTGGGGCCTGTATAGGGAGGGCTCGGTGTCAGGGACTGGATGAGGTCGGGATCGGAGTGGAGGTGGGGTGGGATTGGGATTGGGATCGGGATGGGATTGAGCTCGGGATGGGGTCGGGATCGGCTCGGGACCGAACTTGAGGATGGGATAGGGCCGGGTTCAGTTCAGATTGGGAACAAGGATGGGATCTAGTCGGGATCCAGAACGCGGGATCGGGGGTCAGGTGAGGGTTGGGAGCGGTGACTGGATGGAACCGGGTACGACTTGGACGTAAAGTCGGGATGGAAGCGGATCCGGGCTTGAGCTGTGGCGTGGGGGGAGCCGGGTCGGGGTTGTGACGAGCTCGCAATCGGGATGGGAACGGGATCGGGCCAGGGTAGAGATCGGGACGGGGTTGGACAGCGGTTGGAGATCGGTGGGCGTGCGGGTTTCTAACTTAGTTCTAACTTAGTTTTCTTAGAACTGACTAACGCTAGTCTCGCATTTGTCCCATGCGTCCTTTCGTTGGCGGCTGTCGCTCTCTTCCTCTTGAGTGCTTGTGCTCGCCGTTGTCCTTGTGTTGTCTCTTCTTTGTCTCCTTCGCGCGTTAGGATCCGGGTGAAGGTCTTTTGGATCTTACCTTTGGGATCCCCTGGGGCCTCTCTAACCTCGTTATGATAACGCTGAAGCTGGTGCTCCTCTCCTTCCTTAACGTATGCTGCTCCCGTGTTTGTCTCAATCTTGCGTGCACTTTTCCTTTGCCCAAAAGTTGATCCGTCGCCCTTCTTTTCTTTCTCTCTTTTTGGCTTCCTTGTCTTTTCCTTATTCCTGGATCGTCGGTTCTCTTTGTCTTACGCTGGTGTTCTCCTCCCTTCTCCCACAATTCTTTACAGCGTATCTTACTATCTTTTTGATGAAGGCAAATTTTTAAGTTTCATTCAAGTGCACTTTTGCCTTACAGTTTCATTGGTCGAAATTTTTTTTTTTTTTCCCTTTTTTTTTTGACTGTTTATTAATACTGAAAAGAACCTTGCAATTCCAATCCAACTCACGACGTGTACGCGGAAAACACTCGGATGAAAGTTCACACCACACCAAGAGATGACACAAGAATCAGCGCCTGAAGAATTCCACCCGGAAATAGTATATAATACAATTGGAGATTCCGGACGTTCAGCGGCAGTGGCCGCAATCCAACACAACAACCCGACTGCAGGTATGTACCCAACTCCCCTTATCTCGGTGTCCGACTTCTCTCTCTCTCTCACTCTCTCTCTCTCTCTCTCTCTCTCTCTCTCTCTCTCTCTCTCTCTCTCTCTCTCTCTCTCTCTCTCTCTCTCCTTGCATCGCTCAACCTCCCTGCTGCGCTCAACTCTCCTCCCTCGCCTAGATCTCCCCTGAATGCAACTGTAGTGTGTCACCCTACTCTTGCGGCTATGACCACCTTGTTCATCAACCTTCTAACACAAGCGATGGTAACCAGACGTCTTCTTGGCCGCCGGGCACTTGCTCCTTCTCCGTCCACGTCGCGCTATTGCACAAGCAACCTGCAGCACTTCCGCAACTTGCACATGATTCTGCTGGGCTTTTAGACTTGCTGATCCGCCTTCCCGACATCTTTTGTCGGTTATGGGTTGCTCCCCTTTGCCTTTGTTCCGTGCTTTTCTGGAAGCATAAGGACTCTCTTGGCTTTGGCTGCTCGCATGGATCGACTGACACCTGGCCTCACGACTCTGGTGATCCTGGCTAAAGTTTGTGGCGCCTTCTAAAGACAGCCTCTTCAACCCATAACTATCTACCAGGGACTTCCTACCATGATCAACTTAACTAGCCTGCCTAGGCCTCTGCAATCATGGTACAAATGGAAGTTCTCTTCTAGAGTGTTCGTGAACATTGTACAAGTGGCTGGAACCACTATTGGAACACGGAATGGGACTTGGGATTCTGGTCCTGGGACTCAGGACTGGGCCCTGGGCCTCTGGTGCAGCGTGAAATCCTTTCAATATGGTATAAGCTCTATGAATTGGTGGCAAGTTTGGTTGAAAAAGGCCTTCGGGTTTTCTTATAAATAGCATTCAGAAAAAAAACGTTTAAAGAGTTTGGGCCTCCGTTAACTGACTCTCGGCATTAGGGGAAGCACTGGGATAGCACATAACTAAGAATGTCCAGGCCTCAGCCTTATCAAATACGCCGACGTGATGCTAGCCGTCCAGCCAAACCGAGGTTTTCGCCTCCATGATGAGACAGGCTTTGCAAGAGCGCCTATACAGATGTGCAAAATATAAATATAATATCGAGGCCACTTCGTGCTGACACCGCCCACCAGGTTGCGGAAGAAAAGGCGAAGATCCCATCTTAGCTATGTGCGATGTCCAGATGACATTACTGAGCCTAAGGCTGATGCAAATGAGGTAGGTGATTTTATATCGATCCTTTCAAGTAAGCTCGGACTAAAGCTAAACAAAGAAAAGACAGAGTTGTCGATTCTTCTTCCCTAGGAACCCAAATATCGCATGGATGGAGAAGGTACAAAGTACGAAGTCCTCTTTCATCAGACTTTCATCAATTTGTCAGGAAGTTGAACCCCAACAGTGCGCGCAGGGTACATTTCAGGGTCCTCTTTCATCAGACTCGTGGGGGCATACAGCCTGAGCTCCATGCCGGGGAAAGAGATCAGCGAGGGCAGCGAGAACAGCGAGGACTCTGAGCGGGGCAGCCCCAAAACCTCTGCCGCTGTGGACTAAATATATCAAACCTCCAATTATCAACCCTGCCCAACAAACGCCCATCCCATCCGAGCAAAAAAAAAAAAA